AAACGACACTCTTTCAGAACTACTCCAATTCGTTAATTTTTAATATTTTTCAAATATCGTAGGTTATTGTATAGGAAATACATTCAACATTAATAACCTCTTTGATTTTTTTGTTTCAGCTACTCATTCGGCCGGAATCATGTCAGCAGTTGGGGAACTTTTTTTTTGGCAAGATAGCACATCCGTTATTTTTCAATATTTTTGAAAAAAAAAAATCTTAAAATATAGCTGAAAAAATATACCTTTTTAAGTCCAAAGAGCTTCGGAATATTCGATCAAGTACTTTTTTTAAATTCTCGAAAATCGCCTAATTTTTCATGGGTCCTTAAGTTTCACTGTTGCAATGTTTTGTAATAGTGTAATATTTCATTAAAGTTGAAGAAAACCATAGTAATTTAAGACATATAAGGGATTTGTATTCCCGGATCATTGAGGACTTTCAAGTTGTTGACGAAGGTTTGGAGTATCCAAAACGTACTGATCTTGAAACCGTAATAGAATATGGCGCTCCGAAACTGAAAGCGGAAAAGCATTATCAGTCTATGACATGGTACTTACCTTTGAGTGTACATTACGTGATTTCTGAAGTTTTTAATTTTCTGGACGTCCAATGTTGCAGATATGTATGTACATATGAACATATATGTACATCCTAGCGTCGAACGTCAGTGTTTGAATACATTTTTAACTAAAGTTCTTTTTACCTAGTATGGGTCACTCTTATATAAAAATTTCCCCCTCTGCTATAATCGCATTACCGGATTGACTTTATAATGCACGATTAATTAAAAATGTTCCAACTCATTTAATATAATAGTGATATAATTTAACATAAAAATACTTAGATACGATCCATAAGTAAAAATCGAAACTTCCCATTGGAGCTACGTTAGTACAGCAGTATATGTACATATATCGACTTGCAATAATATAATATTGGCCCAGTAAAAGGTACATTTCATTGACAGCCGGATTAAAATGATAGACAACTTTTTTCTATTTGTATAAAATAATTGAAACTTCATAACATAAATGGATGCTTGAATTTTAATTGACAATAAGTGTAAAATGAAATACTGTAAGAACAAAATAGTAATAGATTTATTAAAATTATTAAAAAATATATGTTTATTAAAAATTATTAAAATGAAGTGAAAACAATAAAGTGTCTTTACCGTGTAAATCCATTAAATTTTTATAGAATGAAAACATAATAAGATATACATATGTATATGTATATCAGCGGTATTTATAGTTTAACAATTATTTTTAAATAGCGTTGGCTTCTAAGTTATAGACACTAAAATATACATACATGCCTATTTATCTACTTATTTTATTTGAAACAATTCTTTTTCAATAAAGTGTACACAATTTATTATAAAATTTTACTTATCGTTCGAACATTTTACTCACCTTTATTCTTCCTCCTTTTTTACATATGAACAAATTATAGCGAAGCAGCAGTATCCAGTTTTCCTTATTGCACAGAATCTAGCTTAAATTTTTCCACATCAGCTACAGCATACAGCGAGGATGATGCAGAATATGCCACCGGAAGACGTAATAAAACTTCGAGGGTAAATATTTTCCTTACCTTTCTTTTGTAAAAAATTTAGCATTCAACYCAAGTGAAGAGCGCAAATGAAATACTTGTACTATTCAAAATAAATTCGAATTAACCCAATCCGGGAAGATGAAGTTAATATACTTATATTCGTACCTATACTGCTCACGTGTTATGTAACGTTAGGCTCATTGCTCGTATGGTTATTCTAAAATATAATATGTGGTGAGGGAGCATAGAGCTATTCGCTACAGGGCATGGTCCAATAAAAAGACAGGAAGTAATGAAGACGGTGAATGTTAAARGGAAATGGTCTTTACTGTGAAACCTCTTCACTCAGTAGTTCAGCAGCGGCCGCGCACATGCTCGTACAAGTGTTCTGCATCATCGCACAGAATCATAAAAAACAGAAAGCAAATGTACATTACACATTATCGAATGTTTATAAGAAAACGAACTGTGGACACGACCGCTTTTGACTCCAATGCTCTTCATGCTCAACATATATGCACTGACTTGCTTACCAAAATAATTTATTTTAAGTTTTAAATATGCATTTGTATGTATCGATTTCATGTCATAATTCACTATTGGTTTAAATAAAATTATACATACATAAACCAAGGAGTAATGCACACCAAGTGCTGTCATTTGTTCACGCACACATCAAAACACAGAACACGTAAAACACACACATACATATATATTGAGGAATAAATACTTACATATGTTAGAGGATTAATTAAATTGGTAGCTTAAGAAAATTTTGGAATTTTTGAAATAAAGTTACATCCTATTTTACCATGGCATTCATGGTAAAATAACAATAAAATAAAGCTAACATACTTCTTTTCTTTTTCAATAGTTGTTGTTTTACTTATTCGAATATTCTATTTAATTTAAATTTATATCGCAAATCTAATAACAAATTTTTGTTTTATTTTCTCTCAATTTCAAATTATATTAATATGCGCTTGCTCATTAACAGCAAGATCCCTTATCTCATCGCATCATTGAGAAACGAAGACGCGATCGCATGAATTCCTGCTTGGCAGACCTTTCACGACTCATTCCACCTCAGTATCAACGCAAGGGTCGTGGTCGCATTGAGAAAACAGAGATCATCGAAATGGCCATTAGACATTTAAAACATTTACAAAGCGAATGCATCCAGAAGGACAACGAGTACCGAATGGGTTATACGGACTGTATGAAAGAGGCCGCCAAGTTCCTCTACGAGAGTCACATGGAGGAGTTTTGTTACCGTTTGGTGGCACGTCTGCAGGAGCACTGCGTGGAGTTGATGAAAAGTATGTGTAACGATTTATTATTTCTCTATTTCATATATTAACAGTCTGATATCTATTAATTTCTTTAGATGACTGCTATAAATCACGTAGCTGTCATATACCAGATAATGTGAGTGCATCGAGCGGCAGTCCGCATCAGGCATATCACACGGCTGCGCCACTTTGCCAATTGCGTGACATGCTAGGCAATTCGGATATTGAGCAGAGCAATGATCATAATGATGTTAAAGATTTGAGTTTCCGCAATCATTTAAATCAAATGCAACGCAATGTTGCTGCCGCAGCTGCTGCTGTTTCGGTTAACAATAACACTAATAGTAGTATCGTACATGAGCATAATAGTAGCGGCAGCCAGACCAATGCAGCTAGCAACTCAACCACTTCATCGACGACAACGTCTTTGAATAACACTATTAGCACGACGACGGCAGTGCCTAACAACGGTGTGTTGGTAGTAGGCGGAGGTTCAACGAACAGTTCGCAACTACGTCCACATCAGGCTCCCGTAATAACTTCTACGGGGCCGGCGATATTGAATCACCATAACGAAACCAGTAATCACGACTTTGAATCATCGCGAGAACCGCTCTTACATACTGATACGTCCAATATGCATTCACCTCCACCACGCGATTCGTTGCTGCATCATCACGCTCACCTGAATCATCATCAACATAATTCGGATAGTTTGTTGTCAGCGCGTATGCGGAATTTTTCTGAATCATCCCACGATATTGAGCACAACAATAACTATAAGTACAAAAATCATATAAAAGAGCGTTTTAATCACGAGCTGCATGACGAAGAGACATCTAGCGAACATTGTCCGGCACCGCCACTTCTACAAAGCGAACATTCGCACACTCACTCCTTGTCTGAACATTCGAAGGATGGCACCGAGCCCGAAATTGCACCAATTATAGCAAAGAAACGTAAAATGGCAGAGGCTGCAGCTGCAGTATTGGCAGCGGGCACAAGCGCCAATAGCAATATCGCTTTGGACGACTGTGACACCCGTCCCCCCGCCACCACTAATAGCATGCTGAGCACGCGCGATGAAAAACCCTTTAGTTTCGCCGACATCAAAACTGAATTAAGTGCACAACCCTTTGGAGGTGCGAAGTCGCATTTTAGTACCCCCAGCAGCACCACCCACGTATCACCGAATTTACAATCGTCGCGTTCTTTCGCTGTACCTATCTTTGCTTTACACGGTCAAGGTACTTACTACATACCACTAAATATTGATTATAACGTGTTAGTTCCATTTCTTAATGGCGCCGATTTACTGGAAAAGAACTATGCGTCGATGCCGGTAGTGCATCCAATAAATATTAATGTAAATTTTATGCCCACCTCATCATCAACATCCATACTTGCTGCCGCTGCTGCAGCGGCCGCTGTAGTGGTGGGCAAACAGCAATTGCCTCCTGTTAACGGCACAGTATCCTCGACTGCGGCGGCTGCGGCTGGCAATGTGGCCGCTGTGGCCAAAGCTAAATTAGAGAGCATCAGTAACGGTTGGTAATCACGAGAATATATTTCAATATCAGTTAAAAATATATTACAATAACTGCAACAACTGTGCGCAGGCGCACGAAAGTATATGGTGCACAGCGTTTCACGCACTGGTCGTTTGTCTTCAAGACAAGGCCAAATCCTCAATTACTACTACAAGGAACAGCACTACCTCAGATAACTGTGAAATAGCATGAAACAGTGCAGGTACTTTGAACACAGCGTCAGTCTGCAACAAGTAGCTAGTTATCGTCCACACACTAAGCTGCTAAGCTGCACGTAGTCCACTATTACAGCACAGACATTTCGAATTGGATAGGGTACGGCTACCTGACTGACAGCTATAATGTTTACAGTTATTTCAAAATGATATTGATTATGCGAGCGAAAATAAATATGGAAAAAATAAGCAAACAAACGAGGAAAACTTTAATTAATAATTAAAAATACTACTGACTCTGAAATTGAAGCAACTGCGAAAGTCTATTCTAAAGGACATAACAGCAACTTTTACAAAACCTATAAAAGTGGCAAACAATAAATTATTTACAAACTTTTAGATACTGAATTTTTCTGTTCACGGACTGGGATAGCTGCAGAGCAATGAGTGTGCAATTGAAAGATAATTTTTTTAAGTTATTTAGTATAAATGTATGTAAGTTTTTACTTGTATATGAGTAGGGCAGCCAAGGTTTTTAAAATGTAGGACTAAACACAAGTTACATTTGCTGTGTATTAAATAAAAAACAAATGCTACTAGTCAAAAGCTACAATGAGAAAGAAAAATAATAATAAATGATGTGACTTTGTTAGAGAAATAGGTTTACAGTTACTCATACAAAATAATAAGTTAATGATACTTCTTGGAGTAATATTTTTAGGATATTTTGTGTAACATATTTCTTATCAAAGTAAGTAAAATTGTAAAATGTTTTCTTTTCACGAAGGAAATTAAGTTATGGAATATTTGTTTTTATTTGCTAAGGAAAATAATATATGATAAAATGGAATATTTTTAGAGAATCTGCTTGTTATAAGAAATTGTATACATGAAATAATTATGGATACCAGCTATTTTAAATGTTAACGAATATGAATATTTTGTATTGAAATGTAGCATTAGCAATATTATTCAACAAATAGTTATTAGAGCAGGTTAATTTTAACATAAATACCATTTTCTTAACTTTTTTACATACCTCAAAATAAAAAACTTTGCCTCTTTTCATATTTTTTTATTATACTTTCACGGCAAGAACATGAAAATATAATGCATATAATCTTCTGTGAAGCGATTCAACCAATATCCAGTGATTCAGGTACAATATATGCAAAACTTTTTGTATAGTTGGATTATATCTGATGAGCTCAAAACCCATATTTGCACGTTTTCTATATATAATTTGGTAAATCGTAATGTACAATTGAAACAATACCTATATAGAAGAAGTGATATTTTGCTGTTAAATAAATTGAGCTCTTTTGCCACTAATGCAGTCACTTGAGCAAATAAGCTAAAGTCATGATCACACCGTATTAATTAAATTAAAAGTAAATCAAAATGGAATTCAATTTAGGTACAAGCGGCCCTGGTATAAACTTACGTACATTTATTAACATAGTGTAGTGTTAAACAACAACGTTCCCACCAAATTTTAAAATAATATAAAATGTCTTCAAATAAACGTGCTGAAGCAGTGATTTTTTCATTGCGGAGACTCTTACATATTGTTGTTGACTTTTTTTTTGCTTTCGAGAAACACATTATTTTTTCTCGATATTTGCAGTACAGTTACATATAAAACTTTAAAACCACGAATATTGTTTAGTTTAGAAAAAGTCGAGTGTGTGTTACTTAGGCATAAGCATTTGTGTGCATGTACAACGCTGTTGTAAAAATACTATATTCGTGTGTGTGTTTGTAGCGATGTACATCTAACTTTTATTCTAGATTATATATGTATGTATACCAACAGAACTTAAAAGTTAAGTTTATTGTTCACTATATACTATATACTATACATGTTTATATGTTATATGCGTGTATGTTTACACATGGACACCTAATATATAAATGTATGTCATTATTATTAAGAACAGTAATAGATAACAAATTTAATGAAATAAAAGTTTATATAAATGTTGAAATTGTGAAAATATTCATGTTTTTATTGCAAGGAAAATTAGAATATTGGTAGGTATGACTAATTAGAAATCGAAATAAGTGATAAACAGAACAAGTAAGGATAGGCTAAGTTCGCGTGTAACAGAACTTGCTTATAACCTGCAGGATTCAAAGCTGACAAAATTCCTTCAAGTGTTTTGCTATGCTATATTTAAGTTCGCGTCAGCTATAAGCACTTAGCACTTAAGATATATTTAATATGTTGACCAATTTCATTCTAATTCAGTGTCAAACCACATACTTTTGAAGAAAAGTTGCCCATTTCATAAAATTGTTGTACATTTTGACAAACCTGAACAGTGGAAGCGGAAATCATTTTATGGGGTATATTGGGGGCAGAAAAAGTGACAGACTGATTGCATTAATTTACACACTGTACAGGCATACTCGAGAACATACAATATTTCGAAGCAATTTTATATATAAATAATACTCATTGTATGACATATTCGGCATAAAACTAATTAGAATAGTAAAAATCCTTATATATAGTAAGTATATGTGAGTTGGGCAGTATTATCTACATACAATTAACATGTCACAAACTAATAAAATGCTACCAGTCCAGTTCAAGTGCCGCTGCTGGACATGTGCGCATAGCTCCCGACATACAGACGCAGACGAGTCTTTGAAGCTTCGATAGTTGAAATCCTACCGACGTCTATGATGCTTTCAGAGCCCAAGCCGCCGCTCCATAAGTGATAATTGGTCGCACTACCATGGTGWACAACCACCAGATAATACTTGGTTCACACAATTCCCACGACAGCCGGATTTCATCCGACCAAGGGCTGTTCTTTCGGCGATCTAACCCCGTTTGGATCGGTGAATGTTAATTTGTGTGTGTCGTCACTGGAGCAACGCCTTGCAGCAGGGTTGCTCCGTATCCTCCTGACTCGTGCTGGCATTGAGTCCAACCCGGGCCCGGAGGAATTCTTCTGCTGCGTTTGCGCGAAATGGCTCCATCCAAATTCCACCTCGGTCAGGTGCAACACATGCAATGGATGGAGCCATCTTAAGACCTGCTCAAGCCTTAAGACCCATAGGGAGTARACCCCGCGTTAGGTTGCCTATGCAATACTGCGACGCTAGCCTCTACGGCTGTGCAATCTGCACATAGCAGACCCGTTGGGTGCTAGGCGACTTTAACACGCACCACGATCTTTGGCATTCCTGTCTGTCAAATKACCGTAGGGGGATGAAGCTGGCGGAACAGATTGACGATTCGACATTCTGCACAATGACGAAGCCCCCACCAGAGTTATGGGCACTTGTAGTAGCTCACCCGATATTACAATCGCTAGTGGTGGTCTGATAAACAGCATAATCTGGCGACCTATGCTAACCYTCGCATCAGACCATCTACCCATAATTATCTCGATCGAGAAACCTGCCGTTTTCGTTTCTGTGGACAACCGCACCTTCGTTAACTTCAAYAAAGCTAATTTCGCAGGGTGATCGCAGCAGCTACCGCTCGCTTCATTCCAGCTGGACGAATAGCGGAAATACGCCCCAACTTCCCAGCCGAAGCAGCCATCTTAGCTAATGAGCGCGACACCTTACGCCATGCCGATCCCGGGGATCCCCGAATAAGGGATCTCAATTTGGAGATTCGGCGTATGGTAAACCACCATAAGCGGACGAAATGGATAGAGCACCTGAAGTCCTGCAACCTCTCCATCGGTGTAAGCTTGCTTTGGGATACTGTCAAAGATTTGTCCAACCCGAAGAGTCACGACGACCGAGTTGAAGTTCATTTCAATGGTCATGCCTCTTCGGACCCGAAGAAGTGTGCGAGCTATTTTAGCTGGCAGTTTACACTGCACCCTTCGGTAGACAAAGCCAAACAGTGTGTTAACCGACGGCTGCGCAAAATGCCAAACGACGGCGCGCCACTTACTTTCACCGATGAAGAGGTTCAGGGTGTCATCGACAAAGCAAAATCTTCCAAATCCATTGGCCTGATGGAATCAACATGCTAATGCTAAAGCATCTAGGCTTGACCGTAGTCAAATATCTCACCAAGGTCCTCAACCTGTCGCTAACCACTCTTCAAATACCCGATGTGTGGAAAGTCGGAAGAGTGGTCCCACTACTGAAAMCTGGGAAACCCGCCAACAAAGGGGAATCTTATCGCCCGATAACTCTCCTCTCCTCAGTAGTGAAGACACTTGAAGCCTTGTTACTCCCGACCTTCACTCACCACCTGAGCCTAGCCAGCCACCAGCATGGATTCCGTAAAATGCACAGTACCACCACAGCACTTAGCGTCATAAACTCTCAGATCGTTCGTGGCCTCAACCAGAAACCACCCTGTGAGAAATCGATCCTCGTAGCGTTGGACCTGTCAAAAGCTTTTGACACGGTCAATCACTCAACGCTACTGCAGGACATTGAGAAAACCACGCTTCCTCCAGGGCTCAAGAGGTGGACCATGAACTATCTGAACGGTCTTCAGTCATCCGTACTATTTCGAGGCGGAACATCTAAACTGAGAAGAATTAAACAGGGGGTTCCGCAGGGTGGGGTCCTCTCCCGCTACTGTTTAACTTTTACATCTCGAAACTCCCGCAACCACCAGATGGGGTTTCCATAACCTCGTACGCTGATGACTGTACGATATTGACGTTGGGCAATGGAATCGATGGCATGTGTTCGATGGTAAACAACTACCTCTCCGACCTTTCACGTTTCCTCACTGCACGGAACCTCCAACTTTCCTCTACCAAATCCACAGCGACCATATTCACGAACTGGACGAAGGAGTATAGACTGGAACTTAATATTGCAGTCGACGGCGTCAAAATTCCGACTGTCAATAACCCTAAGATTTTAGGTGTCAAATTCGACAGTCTATGCTCCTTCTCTCCACATACAACCGCGATTATCGGCAAAGTACAGAGCCGCAAGTCGTAAGCCGGCAGTACATGGGGAAAAGACAAAGAAACGTTGTTGGCAACTTACAAGGCAATCGGCCGGCCGATCCTTAACTATGCAGCACCCATATGGTCGGCTGGATGCAATGGCACGCAGATGAGGAAACTACAGACCTGCCAGAATACAGCACTCCGGACCACGACGGGATTCCTCTTGATGTCTCCCATCGAACACCTACATAGCCAGTGCTTATGCTCCCAGTTAAGGAGCATAATGAACTCCTCTCCAAGCAGTTCCTGCTGGGATGTTTTCATAGAAATCATCCTTGCAGTCATCTGCTTGGAGCGGCACCGCCTCCTAGGAGCATCAAGAGGTCATTCCTTGATCACGTCGACGACATCGAACAATACGCCGACAGGACCTCGGAAGCTACAGACTTCCGACTGGCACTGACCGCCATTCACAGTGGAGTCATCAACACCTTCACCGACTCCCTCCCCATGAATGGCGTACTTGGAGTCAAATCACCACCCATAGCAGACGAAGAGCTCGAGTTGCCGCGAGAAACGCGAGTGACCCTTCGCAACTTCGTTCTGGATATTGTAGCAGGTTAAACTCCTACCCATCCAGAATAGACCCTGACATACCCAACGTATGTCCTGCATGCAACGAGTCTCCGCATGACACTGNCGATCCTCGTAGCGTTGGACCTGTCAAAAGCTTTTGACACGGTCAATCACTCAACGCTACTGCAGGACATTGAGAAAACCACGCTTCCTCCAGGGCTCAAGAGGTGGACCATGAACTATCTGAACGGTCTTCAGTCATCCGTACTATTTCGAGGCGGAACATCTAAACTGAGAAGAATTAAACAGGGGGTTCCGCAGGGTGGGGTCC